ATTACTGTTTATAAATACTGTAGGACTGATGAGTCATAACAGAAACATTGATAAAATAGAAAAAAAAGAAACTTAATTAGCTTGTTTATGCTGAAATATGCAGGCATAAACACTAAACAAGTTAAACAGTCAACTTCACATGTGAAGTATGTGGGAGGTTTAGTTCAAACGATGTTAAAGCAGATGAAATCAGTTGAATTTGTTCAATGTGTAAGAGTGTAATTCAGCTGTATTCAAATTCTTATGGTGATTAAATATTCAGTGTACAGAAGAGAACAGTTATTTATATTAAAATAAGACAAACCTCCAACATATTTGCTTGTCAATTTAAAGCTCCAGTGTTTAACATTTAGGAGGATCTATTGGCACAAATAGGATGCAGTGTTATACATAATTATGTTTCCATTAGTGTATAAACACCTGAAACTAAGAATAGTTTTGTTTTTAGAATGAGACATTTTTATCTGCAGAGGGGCCATGTTTAACTGCAATGTTTGTTAATGATAAGCCTCATTTTTCATTATCATGCATTATGAGATAAATTGATGTTTTTGTTGATGTTTTTCAGATTATGAAGAGGAATCTAAATAACGTGAAGAGAATGACATCCCACCCTATTTATCAGTATTGTAAGTGACTACATTGTAGCCTGTGTATAGTTATCAGCTGTATACATTTTAATTATCAAAACTTTTTGGCTAATTTCTCCTTATCTGCTCTCTCTCTCTCTCTCTCTCTCTCTCTCTCTCTCTCTCTCTCTCTCTCTCTCTCTCTCTCTCTCTGTCTGTCTGTCTGTCTGTCTGTCTGTCTGTCTGTTTTTGTCCCTATTTCTCTCTTTTGTGTGTGTGTGTGTGTGTGTGTGTGTGTGTGTGTGTGTGTGTGTGTGTTTGTGTGTGTCAGACATGACGGGGGCTCAGGACGGTAGTGTGAGAATGTTTGAATGGAACAGACCTCAACAGCTCATTTGCTTCAGACAAGCAGGCAACGCCAGAGTCACCCGGCTCTATTTCAACTCCCAGGGCAATAAGGTACACACACACACACACACACACACACACACACACACATTCCGCAACACCTATGTTTTGGCTACTTGGTGTGATTGTTCTTATTGCTCTGTACTCTTCTTGCAGTGTGGTGTTGCTGACGGAGAGGGCTTCCTCAGTCTCTGGCAGGTCAACCAGACATCTTCCAACCCCAAACCATACCTGGTGAGGACACCTCCCACCTTCCTCGTGTCCTTAAGCACACACATATGCATCTGTAGACAAAAAAGAAAATGTGTGTCATTAAAATGAATATGTGTGTTTGTTTTTATTTCTGTTCTCAACAGAGTTGGCAGTGCCACACTAAGACCTGCGGTGATTTTGCCTTCATCACATCCTCCAGCCTCATCGCCACGGCCGGACAGTCCAATGATAACAGGTTGGTATCTGCACTCAGGACGAGCACTACTAAACCAACACTAATCTTTCTCCGTTGGTACAGACTGATTAATATAATCACCGGTTTACTTTTCCCACAGAAATGTTTGCCTGTGGGATACTCTGATTTCACCTAGCAATACCATGGTCCATGGTAAGATATCCCAAGTGTTTCAAACAAACCTATTTAATGATTTTTCCCTGTGTATCAAGATGTTTTGTGATCTGATTCCACATTTCTTCCCACCCACCCCTTCAGCGTTCCCCTGTCATGAGAACGGGGCCACTGTGCTGCAGTATGCTCCTAAGCAGCAGTTGCTGATCACTGGAGGCAGAAAGGGCTTTGTGTGCGTGTTTGACATCCGCCAGAGGCAGCTGCTCCACACTTTCCAGGCCCATGACTCAGCCATCAAGGCCCTCGCACTGGATGCCTTCGAGGACTTCTTTGTTACTGGCTCTGCAGAGGGCAACATGAAGGTGATTTGTGCTCCATCACTCAATCACAGACCTGCAAAAACATTATTTTTTACAGTCTTACTGTTCATTCTATGTACGGACCGACTCCTATCTCATACCGACATATAATCTAGCAGTTCGATTCTCATCTCTTTGGAGTCACACGTGACTTCAAGTTTAATGTCAATGAGATAGAGACCATGTAGCCCTAATGGATCATCATGCTACATATCACAGTCCTGAGCAGGCAGAGGTATATGAGCTGTGCAGCTGTGGACAAAAGGTAATGTACAGATCACTCTGACTCAGACTGATTTAACAATGGTTCTGCTTTAACCACATTAAAGGTTATTTCTGGTGCAGATTTATTCACTATTTTCTAATCTATTTTTGACAGCGCCAAATAAAAATTTCCCTTTTAAGCATTATTCCATTATTTTTTTCGCTTTGGCTGCAAGTTTTTATTTTTCTCTTGCTGATAAAATCACTTAAGTGGAAGCAGAGTGACATTGTGCCAGAAACAGATTCTGAGACGTGTATTCTCAGTGCAACATTTTCCACCAAAATACCACAACCATTTTGGGATGGCTTATCATCTTTGTAGCGCCTCCTATGATGACTTCTGCTCACGATACCATGCTGGTTATGGTGAGACATTTCTCAGCTTGACATCACTTGTTATTAATTGGATGCTGTTTGATAAAAAACCATCAATCAATCAAACTTTATTTGTGTAGCACCTTTCATACAGTTTAGTGCAGTTCGAAGTGCTTCACAGATGATTGACAAGACAATAATTTAAAAAATATTTTATATAAATGATAAAAAATGACAATGAACAAATACAATTGATTTTACATGACTTTGAAGTGCACGACAACTGACAAGCAACCAACCAACTTAAAAACAAGCGTAATGGGTTCTCTCCTTCAGGTGTTATGTGTTGTCTCACGCAGACTTGTTTTATACAAAATAATTTTTACACCACTTTGTAAAAGTGTCACAGCAAATTGAATTTGGCCCTTGACAATTGCAGTGGCAGACTCTGCATGATGATAATAAATAGGCTGGTGTGAAAAAGGAAGAAACATTTTTCATAACACATGTTCCATCCTCTCTCCCTCCGTTTTCTCTATTTCCAGGTGTGGAAGTTAGCCGGTCACGGGCTCATGCACTCCTTTAGCACCGAGCATGCCAAGCAGTCCATCTTCCGCAACATCGGTGCCGGTGTCATGCAGGTGGAGACGCGGCCCGGTAACCGCATCTTCACCTGTGGAGCAGACGGCACCCTCAAGATGAGGGTCCTCCCTGACCGCTACAATATCCCCAGCAGCTTGGTCGACATCCTGTAACTTCTACTTCCACTTCTGAGTGTCCAAAGAGGAAAGAGACAGCAAGAAAAAACAGAAAAAGCTTATGTAACACTTGCTAGGCATTAATAGTGTAATTGATGGGGAAGAGTTAGTCAAAAGATTATCATACTTTTGGCATCTTTCAGAGTGTGCAGTGTTCATGGGTTTACACTTGATGTAAATCATATCCAGAATGAGAAACAGAGCTGCAAATATTTTTTTTCCCCAAAGGCTGAAAGCAAAGTTACAAGCAAAAGGTATCATACTTGATTTTAAAGCTAGATTTATTGTAATTTTATTGAAGAATCTCTACTCTTAGAGTGTGTCCATAGGGAAGCTATGCATGTCCTGTTCTCGTAACGCGGTGCAATCACAGGTCTATTGATAGTGCTCTGTAAAAGTGCTCAAGCAAAAATTTTAAAAGTGTGTAACTGTTGTCATTTTGTGCCCACAGCTGAAATCTCTTAGCATCTACTGTAACCAGCACTGTGGTTTGTTATTAAGTCAGTGGTTTCCAGTGTGAATCGAGTTGTTGGAATCTGCATTTTGTTTCAATAGTTTTGCCCCCCCTGCCTATTTGCCCGGCTTTTCTCAGCCCTTATGGAAGAGTTGATGGTGCATTGCTCCTATAGTGACACCCCCACCCTCACTCCCCTTTTCACTGGCTGTCCATCACTCACCCTGGCCTCTCCTGGTTTGGGCTCGACCCAGCCCAGATTGGTCCTCGAGTGTGTTTTCACTCTGCTGTGTTTGCCCTCTGTACGCCTGCCCGCCCACCTGCCCTCAAATGCCTGTTTGTGTGGCAGACTCACTGCTAGAACATTCCTGTTTGGAAGATGATGTGTTTTATTCCTGTGATTTCAATGTTTCCATCTGTCTGGTCCAAACTTGAACGCCCACCCACCCAGAGCAGAAACACAAAGGTTCACTTCTGGTTTTGCACAAGATATTCTTGAATTTGTTTTTGGTTTTTTTAAATTAATTTAAATTATTTATATGTTTGTGTTTGTTTGGTTGACCATTCCTTTGTAAAACTATTTAACTTATTGCCTTTTATTTTAGGAATGTAAGGGGTTTTACTGTATCTGACTGGGAGATGTGCAACACAGTCTACTGTATGTAAGTGTGTGTTACCTCGCTAGTTGTTTTTACTGTTTCATCAATAAGGAATAGGTATTTGCACTCAAATTCTGGAGACACTAAAAGTTTATTTCAAATGAATAGGTTATTGAAGAAGAAACTGTTATATACAAATGAATGTCTGGCTTTATTTGGCCTAGTAGTAAAACGTTTGAAATAGTTTTAATATATAAATGATATAAATATAAATATATATATAAATATATATAAATATAAATATATTTATATATAAATATATTTATATATGAATATATTTATATATAAATATTTATATATAAATATATTTATATATGAAATACCACAACAGCTTGTACAAACATGAAAGCATTTCTTTATTTTTGGTTTGTATCATACCAGCTGGATTAGTTGTAACTTTTGTTAAGTGTATGTATGGTATTTATTAAAGAGATTTGTGTTTCTCTCCCTCTTTCTGCCCAATATGTGTACTGTATGTATCTTAACTGTTTTACCGATGGTCCTACTGGTGTCTGGTGTGTATGTGTGTGTGCATGTAATAATTCAAAAGAAGCCAATATCATGGGTAGACGCTTTCTAGGGCACTGGAGTCCGGAGGTGTGTGAGAGAACAGGTCATGGTCAGAGTTTTACCTTTGTAAAGTGAATAAATTCTTTTTATTTCATCAGGGTGATTTGGCGCTGTTTTTTTTTTTTTGTTTTGGTTTTTTTTTTTTGGTTTTCTGTCGAGAGGAATAAGCAACCAGGCACCATGCTGCTTCATCAGAAAGGCAGGTGGACTGACTGTGTACAGAATATCGGGGGGGTGGATAACATGTACATCTATATAAAAATACACAAACGATAATTGTCATGCAAATACACTAAATAATGTAACAACTTACAACACAAACGGCCACAGAGTTATACGTTCAAGTTGTACAAATTGTCAACTGATCGAAAATGCAAAAAAGTTTTCACGCCATTAGTAATTTCAAATTCTCACATGTACATTGCAAATAGGATATAAACACAGCAGTATATGTTTTTGACGATATCAATAATTATTGACCAAAACTGATTTCCTTCAGTAAAACGTGACTTTTAACAACCAATTACACCTTCATCTGACAGGAATGTTCTACAAGTTGAGACTGTGATGTATAGATCTCTCTTTATAGTCTAAATATGATTTCCAAAGATAGGGTGAATAGTTGGTAGTCGTCATGAGGCCCTCTGTCCCGACTATGCAACAGTCAGCATGTCATATTCAAACATTATGTTTGTCACTCATCAGAGATGAAGTGCACCACATAGAGCCTGACATAGCTGTGGTCCCACACATACAGATGTCTGTCATTCGGGCTGTAGGAGAGCATTGCCAGCACTCCACCTGGAGACCTCAGGTCGAAGGTCACATTAACCGGCTTTCCCTTCAGCAGGTCAAAAGCAAAGGTGACTCTGGTGTCTTTGGTGTCGGTGACATACAGGACACCACAGGCAATGAAGGCATTGCCAGCCTTGGTGCGGGGGTAGGTGGTGTTTATGTAGGACGTGATGGAGAAGGTCTTCTGATCCAGCTGGGCCACCATGATGCTCTCATCTACACTGGAGGCAAAGATCAGCCACAAGCTGTTCTCATCTGCTGCCAGTTTGAAGTAGGTCTTTGAGTTGTGGAGCAGGTAGGCAAAGTTGTGGTACAAAGCGTTGTCTATGTTGAGAGTGTGAAGCCTCTTGGTTTGAAAGTGAAATCTGTGAACAAACAAGCAAGTTGTTAACCAGAGGGAATTGGAACAAATGCAAACAAAAGTATCTAATTCTGCATCACTTTGTCTGTTAGCTTACTTGGCAATGCTGGAAGTACCAGCGATGTGATAATAGAAAGAACCATTGTGAACAGTGTGGCCGCAGCCCTGGTAGAACTTTCTAACATCCACACTGTCACTGCTGCTGTTCTGGTAGGAAGCAATGCTTTTATACTCCTTAACCACACGACCTGGGGGAGAACAAGCAAATGTTCACAAAAAGTAAAAAAGTTAGTCTAACATGCCTGTATTGCTTTGACACACAGAGCCTTGACATTGGTTTCAGATTCAAATCTTTTCTGTCAGTGTCCATGCTGATGGTACTCTGTAACAAACCTACCAGAAAAGTGTTCTGCCACCCATATGCGCTCATCGTCCAACTGAGCTGTGTCTTTCATCCACGTTCCAAATGTGCTTTCCATCTTTGTCACATTCCTGGGGTTGATCAGAGACTTGATCAGGCATTCTGAGGGGGAACAAAACAACAGAGATCTTAGATGCTTACATATTTACCACACAGCACATATTGTGCATGTAGACAGACTTCTTTGAAAACTCACCGTTCTTCTTCACAGGCTTCCCATGTAGTTTTGCAGCCTCCTTTACCAATGAGGTTTCATCATTTGGAATTGCATGTAACAGCCCTGGAAACAATTTCAACTTATGTTGTGTGTGTAATAGACAAAACAATCTCACTACAAGGTCCATGTAGTAGCTGTTCTGGAGCTTTCAATCCCAATTTTTATGGAATTGTAGCTAGATGTTCAAACTTTCTGAACCCTTTAAGGACTGCTCAGAACAATGGAAATGTGAACATCTACTTTTCTATGACAACAGGGAAAACTCTCATCTCATCTCCTGAGGAAGATCATGTGATATGATCGAAAGCTCCAGACGGCAATACATAAATGGTTGAGGCTGTTTACAAGGTCAAAAATCTTCTCAGCTGCAGAGTTTGATATAGGCCTCTTACCCAGGGTATGAGCAGACTGCAGGTTGGCTCTGTGGTGTCTTGTTCTGGGAGGCCCTTGAGGGCCAGGAGGTCCAGGAGGGCCCATGAGTCCAGGAGGTCCAGGGGGACCAGGAGGACCAGGAGGACCTGTCCAAAAGAGAGAGAACGACATTCAAAAAAAAAAAATGCCTAAGATCTGAGCATTTTAAAAGAAGCATTTGCTATATTTTATATTTTTTATCTCTAGTTTAATTTTAATTTTAAACCTAGAGCTAAGTTCTGCTTGCCCTCAATAATGACATCATTGGATGGTTGTCCCTTCTCTCCGGGCTGACCAGGCTCTCCTCGCTCTCCTTTTTCCCCCGGGTCTCCTTTGTCACCTGGTGGCCCTGTGGAGGACATTATGCAAAATAGCTAATCAGAGATTGCATTCATAAACTCAATATACTTTGCCCTATTGTCAAAACCATGAATTATTCCATTGAGTTGCTCGGGTGAATCATCCCATCCACTGTGGAGGAGAAAAGAGTGAAGTGGGAGAATATTTCCGGTCCATTTTAGCTGATGCCCAAAACCACAGAAATGAATAATATTATCGGAGAATGTGAGAGAAAGACAGCTGTTTCAACCTCTTCAGTCATTTATGAATAACAAGTAGAATCCATTGTGAATAAGATCTGACGTCATGATGATACATATATAGATCCGGAAACTGTGTGTTGGTATGTTCTGACTTTGTGTCTATGTGTGTTCTTTGTGTGTGTGTGTGTGTTGTGTGTGCATTATTTTATGTGACTATGTGTGCTTTGTGTTGTATTTTTAACCCCAGGTTAGACTCTCAACCCTTTGACTGTTACATTGTACCAGTAGTTCTTCACTAAAATGGCCAGCATTGCCCGGGGTATTAATAAAAATGGATGATGAGTAAAAACAGAATAGAGCCACATTATTTCCTTACCTTTTTTTCCTCTTTTCCCATCAGCCCCGGGCAGTCCATTCACTCCTGGGATGCCATCAGTCCCATTGTGGCCAGGCATACCGTCAGCACCAGGCAAACCTACAGTAGCACAAAAAATCTTCACCATGGGCTGAGTGGAAAACACATTTGAGCAAGGATATGGGTCACTAAACCACAAAGGAGACATACAGTATGGCTAGATTTTAAATTAAGGGGATTATGGGTTCACTTACCAGGCGGTCCTGGGGGTCCTGCAACAGAAGGTTTGAGGATGTTAAAGAATGACAAATAATATTTTGGACATGAGTAGGTAGTTTTAAGTATATGTTTAAGACGTACCGGCTATGCAGACTCCCTTGGTGCTGTTGCAAATGTCAATCAACAATTTGATCTGAAGAAAAAATATCAAAGTTTAGCAACATGACTAAATGAGCAAAAATAGACTGTGGGGTAAAACTTAAAATGCAAGTAAAAGTATAAAAGTATTACCAGCAAAATATACTCAAAAGTATCAAAAGTAAAGGTACTCTGCAGCAAAATGTGTTTTAATATACATAATTTTATAGGATTATTATTACTCATGCTAAACATGTAAGAAATTAGCTGGTCAATGTATCATATTAACATTAACACAATAACTATAGCTACTGATTAAATGTGAAAGTGAAATGTATTATATTTTCCTCTGAAATGTAGTGGAGTAGAAGCAAAAAAGTAGCCCAGAATGGAAATATTCAAGTACATCTACAAGGTACAAGGTGTCTAAAAAATTTACTTAAGGGCCTAGAGATGATCTAATAATGCAGGAAGACCCCTATTTTATTATTTCGGTTTGCACTGCTAGTGGACACAAACTGGACCTGGAACCTTCAGGCCCCCTGATGGTCACAGGCCCTAAGACCATACCCAATTTTAACCAGTTGGTGATCCAGCATTAGTCAACAATAACAAAATAATACAAGATAATATAGTGTGTACAGTATTTATAAATCTGCACGCCCTCACTCTTTCTCCCTCATATACAGTCAGATACACCAGTATAGGTCTCTCATCTCACCGGGACCATGGAGTAAGTCATCATCATCATCATGTCATCCTGCACATGTGCCTTGTGGTAACTCTGACTGTGTCGGTGCTTGTGCTTCATTTCATGCTTCATCTTCTTCTCTGTCTCCTCTCCCACCTCCTGGCTGACCTCCTGCTCATGGACCTCCTGTCCCTCCTCCTGGTGAGGCTCATGGAGCAGCTCCTTCTCCAGCTCTTCACTTCTCTTATTCCTGGAGTTCTGGTATTGGTACTGGTATTGCGGAAGTTCCCCCACAGTCGCCTGTATCCCCGCCGCTTGTCTTGGAACCTCCTGGAAAAACTCCACCACCGAGCTCTGCTGCACCTCTGTTAGTTTTGCCTCTGTCTGCTCTAGCAAGGAACGTTGATGATTCTGCTGGACCAAGAGGACCAGAAGGCCCACAGAGTTCATCAACGCCACAACACACGTCCCATACAGCACCATCCGCTGAAGGAGAGTCATGCTGGGAGTCGGGATCCACATGGTTACCACTTCTGCTCCTCTTTTCTGAGAGTCACCCACCAGCCTCGGCATTCACAGGGGAAAATACAATACCAGTACAGCAGTGAATATAAAAGGATAAAAGTCAAACAGACAAGTCTTATGACCTTGTAGCTGAAGATGCCGCCACCAAAAATCAAATCAAACCTCCCAAAGCCAAACTAATCCAACGGGAAGGAAGTCCTCTGTTGAAATTCAAGGTCCTGTCCAGATTATTTCAAGGCTCCAAATAGAGTTCAGTCAGCTTCAGCATCAGTGCTCCACCCGGGTGGTCTATCTGAAGGCAAACTGGTAAATACAGTGCTTGTTGTGTTGTTCGCCAAGTGGAGAAGGGGTTGTGTGTGTGTGTGTGTGTGTGTGTGTGTGTGTGTGTGTGTGTGTGTGTGTGTGTGTGTGTGTGTGTGTGTGTGTGTGTGTGTGTGCGCCCATACAAACCAGTAATGTAGGAGTGGGCATTACACAATATTCTGGGCTTGTCTGGGAAGAAACCCCCGCCTGTTCAGTCACCTGATTTATATTCAGCACAACCCATTCTACTGCACCGCCGTGGGCAGACTGACATCACACACACACACACACACACACACACACACACAAGAGAGAGAGAGGCATGCACATATGTATGATGTACGCACGAAAGCACTCACATACATAACAAATGAAGGCATGCATTACACCAGACAAACTGACTGGTCATTTATTTTTACATATACATTATTATTATTATTCCAGAACCAGTATTGAGAATGAGAAGAAAATACATGACATCAAAATGCATTAACATCATTATAGTTTGAGTTGGTTGGTTGGTTAGCCCCCTCTTTCCCAACTCCTGTATCCTCCCTTCATTTCTCCCCCTCGGCGCTGGTCCATGTCACATTCTTGCAGCTTCCATCCACCAACTGCAACGGTGACCCATTTCTTTTGCTTTGATTTTGGCCAGAAAAGTGACATTTTACTGGGAAAAATGACAGTCCAGCCAAAGACACATCAGCTCCAGGGACTGGAAGCATTCTTCACTGTTACAGGGATATTGTATACTGCTTCTTTTGACTTACTGTAGGTGTAGCTGGCCTATTTTCTGTAATCACACAAGTAATTACATCAATAAAAATATAGTGTGTTTCCATAAGTCAGTAAACTGACCTCTCTGGTGATTCATGTAGCTGACCTACTGTTCATGCTTTTGCAGCCATGTTAGGGCCCATATAACTGTGGCACACACACACAAACAGGAAGAGGTAGAAAGAGAGAGAAACTAGACATACAACATTACTGTTTGATTCAGGTCCTGAGATCTGTTATGTTGGCTCCTGCCTGAGGCTGTAGGTCACTGACAGCCAGTCTTTGGATAACTTGAATTGCTCCAGCAGATGCATCGAGGTCGTTCCTTTGTTGTCTCTCATTCACCGCTCTTTGTCCTTTAATATGAACCATGTGGTTTAAATATGTTGACCTGCCCACAAACTCTTTTCCACCTCTCTGGTTCTGTGTCCTCCTTCCTGAGGTGCAGCTGCTACAGCAGCCTTATCTCTCTTCTTACCTCAGGGCTGAGACATCCATGTCTGTCTAACTGCTCCAGGCCAAGGACAGCCAGATGACCTGACGTATCTTTTTACGAACTTTATCCTCCCACCCATCTCTTTTCTCTGTTTCCAAGAAACATTCTTCCTTGAAGTTTCACAAGTTTACAATATGTATTATTAATTCATTGAGAGAAAAAAATAAAAAACAGAAAATAAAATCTGAAAATTGCACACAAAAGAAAATCAAACAAAGCCAATATATAAAATAATTTACAAAGTGAAAAAAATAGATTTATTAAACATCTAAAACAGCCTGAATTTAAATTAAACGTGAGAGAAAGTGAGAGACAGACATTGTTGAGGAAAGTGTCAGTAAGTAAATATGGTGTAGTTATGGAACAGACACTAAAGCTATACTCTCTATGGCTTGTTCTCTGTCTTGGGAGGTGGTTGGGGAGTGAGTTTATCTTCCAGCTGTGTTCATATCTCTTTGCCAACTCAGCCATCTTTAAATCTGAATTGTGAGATCAATTTCTCAAGGTTGTTCAGGTTGGTCGCAAAACATAAAGCGCACGGTCTGAATCCACTCACTTTTCCTCTAGTCATACCCCTCTGTGTCATTATCATTCTTTCTGTTTTACTACATACTCTCTTCCCACTGCTGTGAGAATGCATGTGGAAAAAAAGCAAAAAGGATATTAGCAATGTAATGATGTAAAAGTGAAAGGTAAAAGAGGAGTTAATACATTCTGTTCAGATATCATGCACAAGCTGACATTTAACTCAGTTTATTCAGATTTCTATTAATCTTGTTTGTTGACTTGTGAACAACTCCCTACATACTGTATGTGGTGGAGACAAAGATATGGTTGACCACAAAACAGAGCCCAGAGAAAAGGTTACATTAATTTCTGTTTTCGGGAGAGACGGTGGGTTGTCTCGGCTTAATCATGCAGAACAATCTAGGGCTAAGCCATCATACAGGGCATCGTTATCAAGGCAAGCGCCTCAGCACACAGTCAGCCATTTGAACAATTCACATTCTTGGACTCGAATGTGGGCGGTAAGTGAATTCAAAGTCTTCTATACAGAATGAGCAAATGGAGCGATGGCAGAGATTGAGTCAAACAGCACTGGCTTTGTCACAAATTGCAAAATAAAATAAAATGAGTCAACTTGGACATAGAATAAGCAGAGGTAGGAACACAGTTCACAGAGTTCATAGATCATAGAAAGCAATATGCAATAGAGGATAAAAGGCTGGCTTAAACTAAGTTTAACAAACAGTAAAAATGAGTTAATAAAAAATGAATTAAAAAAATATATATTTTTTTTTACACACAGTAGTTTGGAATGAAATATTAGTTAGTTAATAAAAGTTAGTGCATGTTGACATTACGCACTTAGGCAGATGTGTCCGTCACAAACAAGTTACATAAATACAGTAAAAACGTCTGTTAACAAATAAAAGGTTATAAAACCAGTAAATTAATCAAAAAATTAATATCAAAATTCCCCAACTTCTGTTGAGGAAAACTGCTGCATTAGTGTACACTACATATTCATTTATGTATGTCTTCTTTTGCTTGGCCTGAAATAGTCAGATTTAATTGTCTTGGGTCTAGAAAATATGATAACTATTCAAAAACTCTGTTATGCAGAATAATCACAATTTTCCCCAAAAAATTCAGATGGCACAACATCTTTAACTGTAGCTACAGCCCTGGGTGAGTAAGGTGCTACAGAACTTGTTTTCTGATCACAGTCATCTCATAAGAGTCATTGTATATGATGCAGTCACAGTTAATCTAAAGATCTGGTTTAATGCCTACAGCTCTGCTTCTCCATCTACTGGTAGTCCAATGGAGGAATCTGGGAGGAATCACAAATACTATAAATTCTAAATGATCCTATTATTCCAGCTTTCCGTTGTCTGTCTTCCTTTATAGATACAAAAGTAAATAAAACTTGTGTGGATTTTTCTAGAAAAAAACTTCAATTCAATTTTGCAAGACAGATAAAGCTTTAACAATAATAATAACAATAACAGACTTTCCCATATTCTCAGAGGCCAGATGTTCTTTTGTAGGGTTTCCAATCAGATTATTTTGATGTTCAAAGGAGGAGCAAAACTTGCTTTTCATCACTAAAATGTCAAATAACCCAACTCCAACTCCAACATGTACTCACTGAGCTAAGTCCTGTACTCTCAAGAGCACAGGCACTAATACAACCCTTCAAGGTTACAAGTGTATTGTTTACCATTTTTCTCCTCTGTTGTGGCTTTTACTTTGCCCTGACGTGGCTCGTAACCAGCTCAGACCGCATATAAAGAGAAAGCCCCGATTGTTGAGGCAGCTCACACGGAGCAGTTGCTTTTGGTTATTTTAAATGGATCTGATCTCTGCATGTGAACGGGCAATGACTCCTGTAGGTTTGGACACCATAGTGGCAGACCTGGTCTCCACGTCCCCAAATGCTACTGCAGTGGGATCACCAGGCATCTCAGTGGCAACCATAACCCTAATACTGCTTGTCTGTCTGCTGCTGGTTGCCTGGAGCCACACAGACAAGAATACTGTACCAGGTAGGTTGCTGTTTCTGTCTTTGTGCTGGTGTCGGTTCTCATACTATTTTAACCTCATCACTGAATTTGCACTGAAATACTTTTTGATTTACCACAACAGGTCCTTCTTTCTGTCTGGGATTGGGGCCACTTCTGTCATACCTGAGATTCATCTGGACTGGTATAGGCACAGCCAGCAACTACTACAACAACAAGTATGGAGACATTGTCAGAGTATGGATCAATGGAGAGGAGACCCTCATACTCAGCAGGTTGGTTATGTCTTTTAATCCTGATGAATAAAGTTACCAAACAGTCAATCCAAATGTAAATGCATCATTTGCAGTTTCATCTTTTTTTACCAAAAGGGCCTCAGTTGTGCACCATGTACTGAAGAATGGACATTATACTTCACGTTTTGGGAGCAAGCAGGGACTCAGCTGCATGGGCATGTATGAGAGAGGCATCATATTTAACAACAATGTAACTCTGTGGAAACAGATACGCAACTATTTCTCCAAAGGTAACATTTTAACCTGATTCATCACGTCATCCAGTTGATTTCAGATGCTTAATATTTGACAGTCACAAACATTTTTATATTCTGTTTCAGCCCTGACAGGTCCGGGCTTGCAGCAGACAGTGGAGGTTTGTGTCTCCTCCACACAGACTCACCTGGACGACCTGGACAAGTTGGATAATGTGGATGTCCTCAGTTTGCTGCGCTGCACAGTGGTCGACATCTCCAACAGACTCTTCCTGGGTGTACCTGTCAATGGTGAGTAGGCATGCATTAATCTCTCACTTAATTTTTTTGTTTTATTTATAAACATGTGCATGAGTCAGTTAAGAGACAGAAAATGTATCTTACTACTGTGTTGTGTTAACCATGTGTCCAGAGAAAGAGCTGCTGCTGAAGATTCAGAAGTATTTTGACACATGGCAGACTGTGCTGATCAAACCAGACATTTACTTCAAGTTTGACTGGATTCACCAGAGGCATAAGACAGCAGCGTGAGTCACCCACTTTATCATTCATATCATCAGGCTTCTTCATTCATATACCCACCTTTAGGCTTTTTGGCTGAGTTTTTTTAATAATCAAGTATTACATATCTGTTATCTCACAGCCAGGAGTTGCAAGATGCCATAGAGAGTCTTGTAGAACAGAAGAGGAGAGATATGGAGCAGGCAGATAAACTGGACATCAACTTCACTGCAGACCTCATATTTGCACAGGTTTGTCTGAGAACTGAATCTCCTCCATTTCTTTCTCAGATTTCAAAGAAAAGCTGCCAAGTAGAGCCATTCAACTTATTCACATTTATGTGTTTTCAGAACCGTGGCGAACTGACTGCTGAGAATGTGAGGCAATGTGTGTTGGAGATGGTGATTGCAGCACCAGACACTCTGTCTGTCAGCCTCTTCTTTATGCTGCTGCTCCTCAAACAGAATCCAGACGTGGAGCTGCAGCTGCTGCAGGAGATAGACACTGTTGTAGGTAAGTGGCAGGGAGAATCAAAACCTAAAGACACTGTCATTTTTAAATATAGCAGAGATTATGCACTATCAAACAAGATTTATAAACGCTAGTTTTAAACATTTTAGAAGTTGTCATGTGCACAGCAAAAAAATGCATTTTAACACACACACACAGTATGTCCTAAACCAAACACTTTGCATATAAGCAAAATGCTCTACATTGCCAATTTATTAGGTACAGTACACCTAGGTAAAACTAATGCAGTCTAATACAACAGTCCTGCAATATGAATTTTACAATGTTCTGTTTTTTATTGAAACGGTTTTTTATTGTCTCATAGGTGAAAGACAGCTTCAGAACGGGGACCTTCAGAGGTTGCAGGTGCTGGAGAGCTTCGTCAACGAATGCTTGCGCTTCCACCCTGTGGTGGATTTCACCATGCGTCGAGCCCTGTCTGACGACATCATAGATGGCTACAGGGTACCGAAGGGCACAAATATAATTCTGAACACCGGCCACATGCACCGGACAGAGTTTTTCCTCAAACCCAATGAATTTAATCTGGACAACTTTAAAAAAAATGTAAGTAGATGTATTTTTTTCATTTTTTTTTTTGCCAACTAAATAGTGAATAAATCTACTTTTAAAGACCCCGAAAGGCTGTTTTCTCATTCAGCTTCTTACTATAAGCAGTGAGAACCTCAAAACACTAAATTTTTTGCCAAAGTTAGAACATTTTTGGATATTTCACCTCAGAGATTCCTGCATATCTTTTCTTACTGGTTTGAAGTGATAATTTGATGCCACTGTCAATAAAATCTGATCAAACCACACCAACACAGTCCTAATGAAGCAGATTAGATTTCTGAGTGTCAACCCTTTAATAAAAAATACCTAAGCAAGTTTTTTTTCTTTAAGTCGTGAATATTTATAGACAAACTCTTTCCAGGGGCTTTAACTACCTCACTCCTCTGCCCTTCTCCTCCTTCAGCCTCCTCGCCGCTACTTCCAGCCATTCGGTTCAGGCCCTCGCGCCTGTGTTGGTAAGCACATCGCCATGGTGATGATGAAGTCCATCCTGGTGACGTTGCTCTCCCAGTACTCTGTTTGCCCCCATAAGGGCTTGACCCTCGACTGCCTCCCACAGACCAACAACCTCTCCCAGCAGCCTGTAGAGCATCAGCAGGAGGCCGAACATCTCAGCATGAGATTCTTATCCAGACAGAGAGGTAGCTGGAAAACACTCTGAGACCTTTGTTTTCTTCATTTGTATCTATACATTTATACAGAATACATACTTACATACTATATGATCTTCATTACTTCATTCATATTATCTTATGACTGTACAAAGCTAGTTTTATATTTTATATGTATTAAAATTGTATTTCTACTTGAGCTATTATGTGAAATGTACGTTTGGACATGCTATTACTGAAGTAAATGTAAATTATTGTGCCAATGTTGTGTGTTGTTGCCTTCTTTTTCTGGGTAGTTTCTCTTTTCTTAGAAACTGACCCTTAGTGTTAAAATCTCTGTCCTCATTTTAAAAAAAAATACCCTACACCAACACACTTCCTAAATCCAACTTATCATTTTATTTTAAGTCAAGTGTTGATTATTTTAGTTTTACTTTTAATTTAAGAAACACGTTATTGCACTTTTAACTGCTTTTCATGTACGGAAGGTGCTATATAAATAAAGTGTATTTAAATTATTAAAACACAGAATGTTATGAAAAGTGCATTTCAAATTGTGTAAATTAAGAGTAAAACCTCCAGCCATATACATGAACAGGAGTAATGTATCCATATTCGATAGAATGGAAAAAAACATATTGCTCACCTTTTCTTCTTTTTGTATGTGCAAAGATTGGTCAGAAGAGGGCACTGCAGCACATAACACACTGATGCAATCCTCAGAACCGCCAAATATAGCAGCCAGTCTGTTCATTATGTTCAATTGCTCTGCCTCTGGGCAAACGTGGCAATACATTTCACACACAGATGTTTCAGTTTGAATTGCTTCCACTCTCTAAACACCAGGACCACTCAGAGGATTATGCTGAAAGACCACGGGAGCTCTACTCACAAACATGTTTGTCTGATTGTGGGTTTGAAAGGAACAGAGTTGGAGGTATTGAGGAAGAGACTAAGAGAAAATACACATGTAGATAAGGTTCGAAGCTGTGCGGTGCAGTAGATCGAAAGATGTCAACCATCAGCTGTTTATCAGGGATGCAAGAGTGAAACATCTAAAATAAGAGTCTCAATCTCAATTTCACTGACATACAACCACCTAGGAGCTGCTTGTGCTGATTACAGAGAGATAAGGAGAGTCAGGAAAAACACAACAACACACAAGTGCTTGATAGGCTAATCAATATCTGCAACCGTTTCACCGCCTAAGCAACAAGTGCACTGGCTGTATGTGTAACTCTGTTTGTGTGTTTGTCATGTTTATGTGTTTTTTTCTCTCAAATGTTCTTTTTTAAGTGCTATCTGTGGGCTCTGGTATGTGCATGAATATAGCACTGTGTGTGTGTGTGTGTGTGTGTGTGTGTGTGTGTGTGTGGTGTGTGTGTGTGTGTGTGTGTGTGTGTTTTCTTGTTTGTGTGTGTGTGTTCCTTGCAGGTGTCGTGGGACATAGCGAATGAATCACTATATTCTCATTAACCTCATTTCTGTCCTCCATCAGAATGGAAATCATGCCCATACACCACAGTTGCACGGACTGAAATTTTTTAGATATATCTTTAAAGCTATAATATGTAATGTTTCCTCATTAAAATGCCTATAAACACTAAATGTTGTATATTTTGTTAAGTTGTGTTCGTACATTGTCCCAAATGTTTCAAACAACATTCAAATCAAGAAAAATCTGGAATTTTATTCAGGTAACGGTGCATTTCACCAGTTGCCTGCCAATGGCGTCATATCCCCTTTGCACATGTGTTGTGGTTGTCTGCCAGAAGCTGCCATAAACTGATTTTAATCAAGTTTTAAGCCACGTTTTTATGATACACTCTTTAAATCTTGGTTGTTTTTAACTATATATTTAAAAGGATTGTAGTCATTGGATGTCTGGATCTTAAGTTATCAGAGAAAAAAGCTGAGCTAATGTTAGCAGCAGCTTGGCTGGTAGGCCCTCCGCAACATCCTTTGTGCACTGAACAGCACCAAAGAATCACAGATTTTTTAGGCTGAAATGGCTCTACTCAGCGTTTTACCGGTTTTAAACAGCAAAGCCGTTTATTTTGGAGAGGAGGAGACCTCTGCTGATAAGATTGAAGGAAACCAGGAGAAAAGTTGACTGCAATGACAACAACGGTGGTGAAGACAACAACTCCCATGTGTTAGTGTGAGATCTACTTCACGATGTCACCGAACGTCAACTTTTGTTATTGTTTTGATGTGAGAGACCCTATAGTGACATTTACCAGGAAAATAAACAATAAAAAAAAAGTTAAACTTAATGACTGCTATAAAAATATAACTAAAAGCAGTCAAAACAGTCATTGTTAATCCTGACAACAATCATGGTGATATAAATTTTTAAAATAAAACATAACACATGTATTATCTGTATCAGTTTAAAGTGCTTCCTCTAACAACATCCGTCATATTTGTTAGCACTTACTACAGTGTAAAGTGGCTTCAGGGTGAAAAGATGCCTTAATTATCACTTTCTCACATACAGGCCTAATACTGTTGTTTTTAATCACCATCAGTATCCATCCATCTGTCTGTCCAGGGATGGAAAGATTACTAGATACTACAGTCACACCTGCTGGAATTGTCTAAAACAAGAAAGAAGTCGTGCAAGGTTAATATTTAGTAAGCATAACAATAAAGTTAAAAGCATCTACCATGAGCATTTTAGCTAGACCCAGCATGCACCTGTTGACCTAAAATCATGGGTGTGTTTGATTTGGCCCAGTTGTGACCTCTCCTCTCGCAACCCCTGACATTTAGAGAACATGTATCAGTTTTTAAGTGTCAGCTCCCTGGAGCTCTGCCCTCCTGCGGTTGCAGACACACCCGCAGCTTCTTCTCTGCTGCAGAGAAGAGAAGAGATGCACACAGTTTATGGCTTTTTCAAGTGCCTTTTTTTCTGTTACTTTGTTACTTCCACCCCTGTATGTATCTCTACATTTACATTTTGATGTAATGTACAGATAGCCATGGCAGCTCTCTCATGGCTGCACTTAAGCACAGCAGTGCTTTGAGCTAACATACATGCTAATATTCTCACAATGACATGCTGATCTTTAGGAGGTATAATGTTTACAATGGTCACCATCTTAGTTTAGCATGTTTGCGTGCTAACATTTGCTAATTCACAAGGTACTGGACAAATTAAAGGTTTTCTCTGACGATGGCACTAGATGAAAAGTCCACCAAAGTTATTACAATTCATCCATGTCAGTAGCAAATTACAAGGCAATCCATCCAATACTTAGAGATATTTTGAGATATTTTAATGCGGACCGATCAACCTACAGACCAACATCCCTAGAGCCATGCCACTATCATGGCAAATAATCAATACTTTCTTTATTAAAAGGTTCCTGTGTGTCTTAACAGTAAATAATTGTATTTTTTTCCTGTACAAATTCAGCCAGTTTCTGCGGTGTAGTGTAGCTCCAGTATAAAGAGTACATACTAAGCTAATGTGATTCCTCTGCCTCCAAACTGTGGGATATCAGGCATCTGCTAAATAGATCTGTGGTAACCTTCACTTCAAGTCTACGACTGAGGACTGTGCTGTGTGTGTGTGTGTGTGTGTGTGTGTGTGTGTGTGTGTGTGTGTCAGGAAATATTTTTAAAGAGGAATTTAATTGAACTTGTGGTTTCAAACTTTGTGGTGTCAACTTTGCCTGTTTTTGGCAGAAAGGTCGCCCGTGGGTCTGTCACAGTTATATCACGCCAGTGTCTTTCAAAGTAAGAGTTTTACACTTCAAAACCCTTTTTTTAAGACTTTTTTTAATTTACTATTCTAGGGTAGGGCACCTCAAATAACATAACCATATTGTAAATCTAGTACACTGCATTTTACTTGCACCAGAACGGAACATTGCTGCAAGGTTTTAAGGTAACAGCTTGCCTTGCAGAATCTGATGCACTTCTTTGAAATATTTGGTCTGTTCTTTCCCTTAGAAAAGGCCATGGTTCTTCATTTGTGGTTTTTGTTAGTCACATGATGTATATTTTCCGTCTCGTTCCATTTATTTCTATTGCTGCATGACAGATTTATAGAGGCAGCATGCCAGACAGCTTTTAAAATAACTCAGACGTAAGAGCCTTGCAGCAAAAAGTTTAGACTGTCCTGCCTCGTGCTATTGCCTGATTGACAATCTGATTGATTACATGCTGTTTACCACCCACAAACACACACTCACACACACATAGGTACACAAGCACACACATGTACACACATTAGGCTGTGCTAAAATTCTCAAATGCCAATGGCCATATTGTCTCTCTGTTTCAGTCCCCTGCTGGATTACTGCTTCATTAAAAGGGAGCCTTGGTTGCCATGGAAACATCTACAAGAAAGGGTCAACTGGCAATATACTCATCTCTCTACATTGTCGGTACATTGTCAATGCGAACTGTACCTCCCACAGTCCCACAATGACTCTGTTTTCCATGATGCTGTCAGACATTTGTTTGTTTGTTTAATATTTTGAAAATCACAAGAAAAGTGTGTGTGTGTATATATATATATATATATATATATATATAGCCCGACCCCCCCTTGAAACAGAAGTGAATCTCTTTCATCAGGCCAGTCTGTCTGAAGAGGGCCGGACTGGAACGGCTCTCTGCCAGTAAAGGCACTGGATCACAGGCAAACTCTCACTTCATGGCCTTTTCATGTGGCCCGCTTTGCAAACTCAGCTCATTTGTTTCTTATTGAACATCAGAGGAGAGTGGTGGCACTCATCATTACAGGATGCTCTTCTGCTTCTTCTTCTTCTTTTCCATTAGTCTTCCTTTTCTGTCTACTTTCAAAATGAGCCAGTTTGGAGGTTTTAGGTTGCGGCTGAAAAGTTTGGTGCAGCAGTTAGTCTATACATCTGACTGTCCATTTGTCTGTTAGCACCAGTTTGGGTTTGTAGTTCTTTTACATTAAGTTAATTTACTTATGTACAATTTAAAGACACTAGTGCCTTACCAGTATTTACATGTCACTATACTTCAATACTTAATACTTCTACTCAACTATACTTGATGGGAATGTGCTAAAATCTGACGGTGGCAGGCCTTAACCTGTTAAGCCCTAGTCATATTTTCAGAAAAAAACGCCTAAAAAGACATACCCAAAGTAAATGAAGAATTGCCTCACAATTATAAGGTTCATATGCATTTCACATTTTGACGATAAAATGCTAAATTTTGCTGTGTCTTTGCTACGGGGCTGACATGAGCTGGTCAGGTCGGATTATGTTTTGCTTGG